TGACCTGCTCGGAAGGGCTGGGGGGGCGGCTGATGAGAAATATTTGCACGGGGCGCGGGGCTGGGGGACGGGAGAGGGGAAAAGGGTAGAGGAGAGGAGGTTTTTCACGGACTGACTTTATGACCTGGTGCAAACCCTTGGATCGGTCTCGGTTCACGTTCTTCGTGGCGCAGTGGAGGTGATAATATCACAACCTCAGGGAGTCTCTGAAATTAAGTGAAGTGGTATTTATGAAAGCGCCTTTTTAACCAAAAAGGTCTCAACATACGGAGAGTGAGTTAGATCGCGACTCTGGGGCCTGGGGAAGGGACGGGGCGTTCGTGGGTAGAAGAATCGGGAGCTTGGTGGAAAGGAGAGTGACGGGGGAAGGGTATCTTAGAATTTGTCAGCATTGTTCATTTTCCCTTTTATTCTGTTTGGATTTGCTCTCAGTACTCAAATTGAAAGCATAGATTTGCTTTTCTGCTCACAAAGAGGCTAGACAAGCTAGGAAATTAGGAATTCGGTTACATCTCAACCATTTTTTCCTCCTCTACTCGTTCTGAAACGCGCCTCAATCAGCCCCCCAAAGTTGTATTTTTCCATAGTGTATTTTAGTCACTACAGAATATAATTTGCGCCCCAAATTGGCTTATGTCAGAATTACTCACAGAGCTTTATTTGTTAAAAAACAGTAGCAACACATTGTAGAACTATTTGAATCAGAATGTTTGAGATGTTTTTTCCTTTGAACCTTAATTTTTTTTAAAGCACCATAGGTAGTTTTGATGTTCAGCCTGAAGCTGAAGATAATTCTTTTTTGTTGTGTATCTTGGGTAAAACTTCTACGTACCACTGGGAAGGTCATGGCACGCATCTTTTATTGTGGATAGCTTTGTAGCCATGACTTCTCTGCAAAGGCACTTGATGGTTTTTGGTAAATGATTACACTGGTGTGACATAATGTAGATTTTGAATGATAATAACTGCTAACCATAGTTGAGTATGTGCTAACCATAGTTGTAGATTATCAGTTTTTTTCTTTAACTGAAATCACAGCTTGTGCTACTTATCTCCACTCAGCTTTATTGTCTGTTAAAGTACGCTTTTGAGTAAACTCTGGAGAGACAAGTCTAGTGTGTAACATAATTCAAATACTGTGGGATAAAACTGTGTAAAACAGTTGTACATAGTTAAGTGTGGCAAGACTATTGAGTATCGTAGGATATCAGAAAAGGGAAAGATTAATATTATTTAAGTTAGTGAGGGAGGATTGGAAGTCCAGTGGAGAATTGCAGTGCTTTCACTGATCTCTTTAGGGTTGTTATGCTCTGGAATGTCAGAGAGGCTGGGCATTTCCTATGGCAAAGACAAAGAGGTGAGAATGGAATTATGAGGCACTTGGGAGGCAGTGAAGTGACTACCTCTATATCTGCAATAGTGGGAAAGTAGGACAGAAGGAAGTTGAGTATGTTAGTTAGGATCTGATAATGGAAGCCTTTGAAAGTCAAGCAGAGTTTAAGCTGGTGGTCTCCAGAGGGTTTGCAAGATCACCCAATAGGATATGAAACAAGTTCTAATATAATATTAGGACTTTACAAAAAATTTGCTATCATAATAATAGCTAACAGTAAATGTATTTCAAACTGTATGCCAGAAGGACGCTAGGTGCTTTAATATATGCTTTGAAATGTATGTACGGTATTGGTACTACATAAAACATGTATCTAATTTTAAAATAAATACTTATAAAAATGAATGCAGGGCGGGCTCGGTGGCTCAGCCTGTAATCCCAGCGCTTTGGGAGGCCAAGGTGAGTGGATGGCCTGAGCCCCTGGGTTCTAGACCCACCTGGGCAACTTGGCAAGACTTTACTTCTACAATAAATAAAATATTAGCCGGGTGTAGTAGCACACGCCTGTAGTTCTAACTTCTTGGAAGGCTGAGGTGGAAGGATCGCCGGAGTCCAGCAGGCCGAGTCTGCAGTGGCTGGAAATGTGCCACTGCACTCCAGTCTGGGCAACGGAGTGAGACTCCAACTCAGAAAAAAAAAAAGTGAATGCAGTGGGCAAGCAAATATGTCTGGACTGTTGGTTTGGATATTGCAGTAGGAAACCAGTGTAGGTTTCTGAGCAGAAGAATATAATGAATATATAATGTAAAAATAATATTATTCTCCTAATGGTGTCCATAATAAATGGAAGAAAATGGAGAGACTATGGCCAAACGGGTAATAATTTCTATTTATTGAGGACCACTCTTGCAAGGCACTGTGACAGATGCTTTCCTTTGTGTTACTAGTTCTCATATTACCTCTCTAGTTGCTTGCTGGGGAGCTCTCTGAGCTTCATGAAACTAGGGATTTTGTCTTTCTTACTGTGATATTCACAGTTTCTAGAATAGTGCTTGGCCTAAACTGTTCATCCAACAAATAGTCTTGTGAGGCCAGTGTAACATTATCTTTTGAGGAATTTCAAAGCAGTAATAAGTGAAGCACCTATTATTTATATGTGTACTAGCTTATATACTAAATGTTTTATGCACATTTACTTGACTCCTCATACTAGTCCTTTGAGGTATTAATTCCTCGCCTCCAATAATTCTTCCCATTTCATTGGCTCTGCTGTCTTTTCTCTGTCTTTAATCTTGTATCCTCACTTCCTTACTCATCATACTAATCATTCCCTTTCATACGTTCTCAACTCTTAAAAAAATGACCCCAATTAAGCTAAACTTTCCACATATTTCCTGCCTGCCCCTGAACAAGGGAGAATGGGGCTAGGGAAAACACCAAACTAACTGGCCTTATTTTAAATTAATGAATACCAAGCTCAAGTAGATTTTCAGTGCTACATTTTTTTCTAGGAAATTTGCTTACTCTTTCTTCATAATCATTATTTAACATTGATGGTTTCCGAAATTTTCTAACGTGTGCTTTTGTCTTATTCTCAGTTTTACAGAGAAATATAGGAATCAGATGAGACAGTCTTTTTCCCGCCATAAGAGCTCGTAACTGACCCGTGATGATGCTCTGCTTTTCCTCTTGTTACAGTGAAGGAGCCTCTTCTGCCCTGATCTTTGGCTGCTTCCTTCACTTTGCATTTGATCCCATTCTCTCATACCTACTCATTCCTTCTCCTGAATTGGTAATTTTCTTCCTCTACCATCTAAATCCTTTCATTTCCTTTGGCTTATAAGTATGTCTGTCATATTAAAAAGAAGTACAGCCTGTAACCCCAGCACTTTGGGAGGCCAAGGTGAGTGGATTGCCTGAACCTGCGGGTTTGAGACCCACCCAGGCAACTTGGCAAGACCTTGTCTCTACAATAAGCCAAAAAAATTAGCTGGTGGTGGTAGCGTGTGCCTGTAGTTCTGGCTACTTGGAAGGCTAAGGCAGAAGGATCTCCAGAAGGATCTTCGGAGCCCAGCAGGTCGAGGCTGTGGTGGCAGGGACCACGTCACTACACTCCAGTCTGAGCAACATAGTAAGACTCTAACTCAAAAAAATAATAATAAAAAATAAACACTTTCCTGTCTTTGTGTCCCTCTAGTCCCACTTCTCTTTGCCCCTTCCATCTTATCTCCTAGGGATTGTCTGTCCTTCTGTTACTACTTCCTTGTCTCACAGTCTCATTTACCTGCTCCATTCTGGCTTTCATTCTGCTAGTCTCCTGGTGGTCATCTATAACCAGCAGCATCCAGATTCTGTTGTCCTCTGACTCCTTCCTGCTTCTCTTTCCAGCAGCATTTGATAGAGTCAGCTCTTCTCTCAGAACACTTTATTTGGTTTCTGGATACCGTTTTCTTTTGTTTTTTTCCTTCTATTTCGCCGGGCTGCCTTTCAGTCTCCTTTACTATCTCTTTAGACTAGTCACTAACCTCTCTGAGCTTCTCGTCTGTGAAGCAGGCATAAAAATTGTGTTAATTAAAATAAAGCCCATTAGCTGGGCTCGGTGGCTCAGCCTGTAATCCCGTGCCTTTGGGAGGCCGAGGTGAATGGATTGCCTGAGCCCACGGGTTCGAGACCCACCTGGGCAGCGAGAACTCATCTCTACAATAAATCAAAAAATCAGCTGGGTGTGGTAGCACGCGCCTGTAATTCCGGCTACTCGGAAGGCTGGGGCGGAAGGATCGCTGGAGCCCAGTGGGTCGAGGCTGCGGTGGCCAGGAGCGGCCACTGCACTCCAGTCTGGGCAACAGAGTGAGACTCCAACTCAAAAAAATAAAAATAAAAATAAATTTTAAAAAATAAAACCCATTAAACAGAACAATTCTGGGCACCAATTTGGCTGTTACTATGATGTTATTATTTTGTTATTATTATTATGTGTTTGGCCTGTGATGCTTGCTTTTTTTTTTTTTCTTTGTGATGTTTGTTTTTAATTCCTGTGGTTTCAGTCACTATTTGGTGAGGTAGGCTATTTCTCTAATTCTATACTTTTGCTTAGGAAGAAAGTCATCCCCAGAAAACAAACAGATTTTTTTTTAAAGAAATTTCTGTTTGTCTCTTTTCAGTTCTTCCCAAGTATACAAACTACCAATGCTAAGTCCTGAAGTTTGTTGATTGAACAGAATCTCTTCAGCACTTTATTTATACCTTTTAGTTGTTTCTACTTACATGAAAATTGAGCAACTTGCTCTAAAACTCCGTACTAAGAAATTAGACTGAACTTGAACCCTGGAGTGTATTTAAGGAGATTAACATCTTACCATATGAAGACTAGTTGTCAAGGCTGGGAATGTTTAACCGCTAAGAGAATACCTAGTGGAGATATAATGGCTACTCTTAAACGTAGATGAGGGATTAGACTGTTGCTTGTCATTCCAGAAGAACATAGGGTTGAAACCTGGGAAGCGGTCACTGATTATCCCTGTGGTCGGACCTTCTTTTGATTGAATGGCTCCAAGCTAAAGGGACTGCTACCTTAAGCAGTGAGTTTCCCAACCCTGCAGGTGTTCAGGCCAAAGCCAGACAGTTTTAGACGTAAACCTTGGTGTGCCAACTTTGAGGGTTCCTCCTATTTCCAAGAATCTGAGTCTGTGAAAAAGAAATGGTGAGAACTTTGGCAAATCACTTGCTATTAACCTTTCTAAAAGTCAGAAACTCTTTTCTCAAGTACCGAAGTACTTGAATGAACTCCTTTTATCATCATTTTTGATGGTTTTCAGTGTTTCTATTAAGTATAATCTGCACTCTTTTTTTTTTTTTAATGTTCTATACTGACAGCCCATATACTTCCAAACGATCATTTTTCATTAGTCATCAGCTTCAGAGTCCGTTCCAGGTAAGTCTTTTGCTCTTGCCCCGTGCTGGGTTTTTTCATTCCTGCTCCTGCATTGTTATACTTAGGTGTTAAGTGTTTCTTCTGGAATTTTATTCTTTCTGTTTCTCCTCTTGAAAACCCTTCTTAAAACGCTTTACCCAGGCTTCCAACCTCATGATTATGTGGCTTCTTGCTCCTGTACTTTGTAGCCTTTCACCATACGGGTTTAAACTCTCTTAATTTGTAATTGTAATGATAGACAAACAGTTTAATGTGATCTATCTTCTCAGCTAAGTTATATCTTACAGGGTAGGGAATTTACTTTCTAACTTTTATGTGTTTCCTCATGCCCTGTGGATTCTGTGTTGCAGCAGTTTGTGTTTATTGTTGCTGTTGGTATTTACATTTCTAAAGTACTGATTCCAAAGTAATGTTACGAGATCTAGGAAAGAAGCTATTTGCATTCACAAATGCATGAGATATATATGAACAGTTGCCAGTTTTGTGTGCTCTGGGGTTTTGTTTAAGGTTCTGCCATCACTGCAATCGCCACATGTGTGTTTCATGGCCCACCCTGTCGCCAGCTTCATCATGCTCTCATACCGCACGGAAAAGGTGGGCGTTCCTCCGTCAGTGGATTTGTGGTCACTGTGTTTGGAGCAACTGGATTCCTGGGCCGCTATGTTGTCAACCATCTTGGTGAGTAAAGTACCTTGAGTTTAGTATGCTCCATCACCATTGTAGGACTGCTTAATAAGACCATGAGCTGTGTTTCTCTTCATTTTGGCAGTATTATGAATTAAACCTGTCTTGGATTTATGTAAGTTTTATCTGCTGTGACATTAAGAGCACACCCATGCCTCCTATATAAGATATTAAGATGTGAGTGAGGGACTCTGAAAAGTTATGACAAAAAAAAGTTATGGTAAAATATACTTTTTGCTAAACATAATATCAATTCACATATCATAAGTAGAATTTAAATATTTGCCATATCACTGTTGTATAACATAATCCATGTTATGTTGATGTTGATTCTGTTTTAATCCGTTCTCTTTTAGGACGTATGGGGTCACAGGTGATCATACCCTATCGCTGTGACACATATGACATCATGCACCTTCGTCCCATGGGTGACCTGGGTCAGCTTATCTTTCTGGTATGAAACCTTATGAGTGATTATTGGAATTGACAAATATAAATTACTAAGTTCATTTTTAAGAGTAGGAGGTAGTATGCTAAAGCAGTAGTTTTGTCCCAGAGTGGAACAAGGGCATCCTCCATTCACACAGTATTCTTTCGGCTGACTTCCTCCGTTACATCTTATGTTTTGGCATACAGGCTCTAGACTAGCAGTTGACAGATTTTTCCTGTAAAGAGCCAGATAGTACATATTTTAGACTTTGCAGATCGTAGAGTCTTTGTCATCATTACTCACTTCTGCCCTTGTAGCCTGAAAGCAGCCATAGACCATTTGTAAACAAATGGATGTGGCTGCGTTCTGATAAAGCTTTATTTACATAATTAGGCTATAGGCCAGATTTGACCTCTGAGCTATAGTTCTCCAACCCCTGCCCTAGACCTGTGCTGTCCGATGTGGTGGCCACTAGCCACATGTGGCTCTTGAACACTTGAAATGTGGCTAGTCTGAACTGTGCTCCAAGTATGAAATACACACCAGATTTCAAATACTTAATATGAGGAAAATACTATACAATATATCATGAATAAATTTTTATATCTAGTACTTACAGAATATACAGGTCACATAAAATATTATTAATGTGAATTTCAGTTATTTATTGCTCTTTTAAATGTGGCCAGTAGAAAATTCAGAATGACATGTGTCTCTTTATATTTCTGTTGGACAGCATTTTTATAAACAGAAAAATTCACATCTACGGTTTTTTATAACTTGGTCTGCTTGACATAGATTTAACAGAGCAGTCCTTCCTGAGCATTCCCTTCGTCATGACTTGACCTACAGGTTCTTTCTTTAGGCCAGTAGTTCGCAAAGGGCTAAGCAGCGGGGAAAGAGTGGGGAGACCCTTTAAGGGAGTGATTAAATGTATGCGCGGCTCTTGTGACTGTCACAGTGACTGGCGAGCCATTCTGGCTTATTAGGTAGAGGCCAGGGATGCTAAGTGTCCTACAGAGCACAGGACAGGCCCTTTTTACAAAGAGTTGTCCCCAAATACCAACAGCCAGCCTATTAATTACTGTACTTTTGGGGCTTTGATGGTTGGGTCTACTGTTCTTATAGCTAACTTCCTACTTTTATCATCCTATATGGAACTAAGCTCTTCCCTCTACATACTTTTTCTTTTAAAAAATGTTTGGTAATCATACTTAACATTTCTGGTATTATAGTCCTACAGATTATTTGTAATTCCTTTAAGTTTTGACTTATTTTTAGCAACATTTTCATTTATTCTATAGTGAATGTATACAAGCTAATGCATCTATTGTAAACATCTTGTTTCTAAAATGTTTTACTTTTCCAACACCTTATATTCAGATATTTTCTTGGTATTAGAGTTACAGGAGCTTAGGCCTTTCCTAGTTCATTATGACTGAAGTTTATTGGTCAGCTTGTCAATGCCTCAAAGTTAAAGTCTTTCAAAAGTGATACTAGCGTGCAGATGTAGAACCATTGGAATTGAGCCATAGAACATCTATTCTGTTCTTTCTTCAGAAATTTTTACTGGGTGTCTGGCCTTGAGCTGATCTCTGAGCATGTTTTGAAGAGCAAGACCCCAGCATCTTATATTTAGTGTTTATTTATGTGTCTGGTTTTGAGAAGGATGTGCCATTTTGAGTGTGGAGTATTGATTCCCCAGTTTAGTTTTTGTCTGATACTGCTGTCTGAATGACCACTTGATAGACCAACCCAACAGAGCCTTTCGAGACTTTGGTTTCCTTTTTTTTCTCTCCAGGGCTCTTGGGCCATTCTCACATGTATGCCTCTCTTTTATGCTGAGGCATTTTGGATTCTTCCCCTCCCACCCCTGTCATATTTTCTAAAAAAACCTTTTGTGTCTCTTTATGTGTAGAGTTACTTTCTTGTTGAGTTCATCACTCACTCACCCACTGTTATAGATTTTATGCATATTTCTTTTAGTCTTCAGAGCAACCCTTTGAGAGGTTGTATTTTCTAATTTTACACAGGGCTTGGTGATACAGTTTACACAGAGTTAGTACATGGCAGCCTGGGATTTGCATTTCTCAGTCATCGGTCCTCACTGGGTCTTCCTGGTGGGGCTCCATCTTTTTGTTCTTGAATCTTATTTTGTAGTCCTTTCCTTTGTCTAAGTTGCACAGGCATTTTAGTACGTTCTGTCTCTCTCCCCCCTTCTCTCTCCCCTCCACCTGTCTCCCTCTCTCTCCCTTCTTTACTTTCTTTCTCCTCTCTTGTTCTCTCTTCCTGCCACTGCACTGACTAATACTGGAGCACCACTTAGTATTTGGCCTTAGGAAATTCCTTAAAAAAAAAAAATTCTTATCACTTAATGTCATTCACTGAAATGCTTACAAAATTTCCATTTTAACTTAGAAAACTCTACATTTTGCCGGGTACGGTGGCTCACACCTGTAATCCCAGCACTTTTGGAGGTGGAGGCAAGAGGATTGCCTGAGCTTTGGAGTTTGAGACCACCCTGGCAACTTGGCGAGATCTCGTCTCTACAACAAATCAAAAAAATTAGCCGGACATGGTGGTGCATGCCCGTAGTTCTAGCTACTTGGGAGGCTGAGGTGGAAGGATCCCCTGAGCCCAGCAGGTCAAGGCTGCAGTGGTCATGAGCATGCCACCGCACTCCACCTTGGGTGACAGAGTAAGACTCTGACTCAAAAAAAAAGAAAACTTCATTTGTCTGGGGGTTACAGTCACTATTTTGGATAAGTTCATCAATCTGACTTTCTGGCTTAAGTCCTAAATGATTTAGACTGGCCAAAAGTGTAGCTGTACTCCGAAATCTGCCACTGGCATACCCTGAAGTTTTAGGTAGTTCACTTCTGTCTGACTCTTGTTTTCATGTCTTTAAAGTAAGTCTGGGATTATAAAAGAGGAAAGAGTTTAAAAGAAATACAAAAATAATCATAAATGCCTCCAATTTGATCCTAGCCTTTAAAAAACATTCTTCCTACCTATAGCCTGTAATTGTTGCTGTTAAAAGGGAAAATTTTTTTGCCTCCAGATAATCTTAGGTTCTTTGGCTGTATTTCAGCAAGGGAGACTTGATTTGGATTCTTTTACCAACTTAGTGCATAGCAGTAGGGTGGACAAAACCTACTATGTTCCATTAAAAATATGAACAGCCTCTTTTCTAGTTCTATCATTGGTGACCTGAGTAAAATGTACTTTGACCTATTTGTCTCCAGAAGACTCAGAGAATCGCAGGGAATTTGAGCCCTCAGAATCATTTTTGTTGTAAAGACTGGAACCTGTGTGAAAGGGTACCATATTATGACAGTAACAGAGGGCCCTTTTGAAACTTGCCTTGGAGTGGGGACTACAGATGTGTCAAATGCCAGGGTGCACCCTTGTGTTTTCATCTGCTCGGCTACTGCTGTTATAGGAATGGAATGGGAAAGATAAAGACTCTATCCGACGAGTTGTGCAACACAGCAATGTGGTCATCAATCTTGTTGGGCGAGACTGGGAAACCAGGTGAGTCTTTTTCTCTCGTTTTATTTTATTTTATGTTTTGGCTTAAGTATCTGTTAGGGCTTAGTAGACCTTTCTTGGGGACTTTCTGTGTGCCATGTAGTGACACATAGTGACATTTTCAGTTAGTCAGTAAGGGTTGATTGTACAACTACTTATATACCCTGTGACACCCTTTGGGAGATGTGGCAAGTCTGGTACAAGACAGCAGTGTGAGGTACTGCCTCATAAAATACCACTGTGGGTTGTATTGGTATGGGTGATGTTACCATCTTGACAGACTGACCAGTGTTGGACCTGTGCTTGGATCTGTCCATTTGGGATGGGTCCTAACCCTGCTATACTGTTTGGCAAGCTGAACATTGGTTTTTCTTGTGGGGATAGTGTTCTACATCTCTTCTCTGTATTGTTAATTGAAGATGGCATGAGTACTGATTTGAACAGTTCTTTTTAGCCTTTGTATGGGTTGTTTATCAACAAATAATGTTTCAGTCTTACAGTGCTAAAACATTTTGTTCGCACTTTTTTTCAAGCATTTATTAAGGTTAGACTTAGATTGATTTATATGTCTGTCTCATCAAATAGTATATAAGTAATTTGATGACTTGGAGGGTCTTGCTCAACCTTATATCCCCCTTATCGATTAACACAGTGCATTGCACAGAGCAAGCATTTAGTTAACATTATTGCATTAAGTTGGTGACTAATTTTCTTAATTCTTTTTATCCCCCCTGAGCAAAACAGTATCTCTCGGGGGGGTAAGAAATGATTCCTTTCCAGCTCCCAATACTTCCCTCCTCCCCGCCAACCAGTATAGTCACCATATCTTAAGGGGCTTGAGCCTCAGGATTCTTGAAAACACAGAATATTATGTTTGCTGGATTTCTAACTTAAAGTAGGCCTTAAATTATGTAGAGTAGTGACAGTGAGCAGACTTGTACATTTTTTTAAAAATTAGTTTTGGCTTTAGTTTAAATCATTGCTGTTTAAAATTTTAAGTGTTATAAATTCCAGTACTATCATGAAAACCAACTTATCCCAGAAAACTTTGAAATGCTGAGTCTGGAGTTCTTAACCAGTCCCTTTGTTTTTCTTCCAGAAACTTTGATTTTGAGGATGTTTTTGTGAAGATTCCCCGAGCAATTGCTCAAGCGTCCAAGGAAGCTGGAGTTGAAAAATTAATTCATGTTTCACATCTGAATGCTGATATTAAAAGTTCTTCTAGGTATTTGAGAAATAAGGTAAGTAACAAGTTGATTTGGAAAGTGGTTCACAGAACTAGAGGTTCTAGGCCCCATTGAAACATGATTTAAGCGAAAAGCATTTCTCATTGACATTCCAGAATTACAAGGCTTTCTAATTCCCTCCATCCAGAACTAGGTATGTGTGTTGTGTTTTGGATGAACTGTGCTAAAGGCCTTCAAAGATGTATAGACCGTATTACCATTGATCCTCAGATGATGAAAGTTTCTGGGGCATAATAGGATTACATAGTAACCGTCTTAAAAGGTGGCATATGATTCTTGCCAGAGTAGTCATGCCTGCATCACGTATCATGGTTAAAGGATCTTCTTTATTTCTCAAACTCCTTGGATAGTAACAGTTTTGTGGCACCCTGAAAGGGGTGATGTGAAGGCTGAGGATGACAGATAAATACTTGCAAGGGAAAGTGGCTATTCACATCAGACTTAGACTTCTTCTGCTCCCAGACATCCCATACCTAGAGATTGACCACTCTAGTGTGGAGTCAGTCTATAACCTGAAATGTCTTGATAGTACACACACACACACACACACACACACACACACACACACACACACACACATCTATAATATCTAATTTATACACATTAGTCTTCATCCAGAGTTCTTGGCTATAACTGCCATAGCCCTTGTTAAAAATTTTTATTATAATGTTAGGGTACTTTAGTCCTCAAAAACAGTCTTTAAAAAACAGAATCTGCAATACAGCATTAAATAAAACCGACATGATCCTAACTCATATTTTATCCACTAGGGAAAATAATTCCAGATGCACCAAGTATTATCAAGTAGCAAACTGCCATCGAGCGTATCAAGGAGGAGAGAGAGAGTGCCTGTTAGTCAGCAGCATTTACTTACTAGTTTTAGAAAATCCAGTGTAAACTGTACCGGGCACAGTGGCGTATGCCTGTAATTTCAGCACTTTGGGAGGCTGAGGCAGGAGAATTGCTTGAGCCCAGGAGTTTAAGACAAGCCGAGGCCATTTAGCAAGATCTTATCTCTATAAAAAGTCAAAAACATTTTGCCCAATGTGGTGGTGTGCACTCGGCTACTTAAGAGGCTAAGGTGGAATGATCTCCTGAGCCCAGAGGTGAGGCTGTGGTGAGCTGTGATCATCCCACCGCACTGCAGCCTGTGTGACAGAGTGAGACCCTGACTCAAAAAAAAACCAAATCCAGTGTTAACTGGATTAAACATCAAGGGAATTTATAGGCCCAGATATCTAAAACAAATTGGCATAGGACATCTTGGCCACAGACCGGTGCCAGGGTTTCTTAGGGCTCCAGCTTTGTTTCTCTGATTCCTTCTCTTTGTGTGGCTTTGTTTCTCATAGTGGCAAGCTAGATTATAGTACATCTGGGCCTCACCTTTCCATACTTTGTTGAAGAAAGAAAATAAATGAGTGAAGCACTTGTGCCTGCCTCTGCCTGAGCATTCATTAAATCATCAGAATTTCCTGATTCTTTGGAAGTAGTGAGAGCAGAGAAGAGTCCAAGACGGCCAGCCTCCTGGGTGGGTGGCGGTAGGTTGAATAAGAAGGGAAATCCTGGCCAAGGACCAGGCTTTAGGGCGATGGTTCTTTGCCTTAGTAGCGCATCAGAAGCACTGAGGGAACGTTTAAAAATCCTGATGCCCAGGCTGCCCCGAGACCAATGACAACAGAATGAATGCCCGAGGGGGAACTTGGGCGTCAGTGCTTTTTAGCTCTTGGGATAATTACAAGCCCAGCAGAGACTGAAGAGCACGGTAGTATTTAAGAGAATGGAAAATGATCCAGGGCTGAACTTGGGTTTCAGGTGTGTGCCAGTCATCCAGGTCTGGCACACAGGATTTTGGATCCTGGAGCTCAGAAGAGACGTCTGGTTGGCGATATACTTGGGAGTCGCCAGCAGTTGCTGTTAGCCGAAGCAATGGGAGGGGGTGAGATGGCCCAGTGAGGAAGTGCAGACTGAGAAGAGAGCTTCGAGCTGGTCCCGGAGAAGTGCCAGTGATGACGATCTGGTGGAGGAGGAGGCCCCTGCAGAACCAAATCCAACAAAAAGACTGAGCAGGAGTGGCCGTGGGGAGGCAGGAGGGAAGCCAGGAGACCGCGAGGCTGTGGAAGCCAAGGTGAGGCAGCGAGGGAGGAAGGAGGGATTCTTACGAGTGCCACCAAGGAGTCAAGGAAGATAAGGATGTGGCATCATCTTGGATCTGTTGACTTGGAGGTCATCGGTGATCTTACCAAGAATCGTTTCAGGGGAGGAGATGGGAGAAAACATAAAAGAATCATTTCAGTGCTGGAGTTGGAGGTGAACAAGAGTACAGTGAGTAAAGACTGAGTTGGAACCAAAGCCTTGGGGACAGTAAGGGCAGGCGCATTCTCAAGTAGCTTGGCTGGCAAGAGAAAGACTGGAGAGAGGATGGAAGCTGGAGGGGGACGTGGATTTGGATTTTATTTCCCTTTTAGCACAGAGGCTTTCCACTGTTGGCGGGCTGGTGGGAAGGTACTGGTGAAGGGAGTGAGACCAAAGGTGTGCGAGAGAGAGTGAAGGGGCGGGTCCCTGGGAAAGTGACAGGTGGTGAGTTCCCCAGCCCTAGAGCGGCCCCGCCCCTCCTTTCTGATAAGACAGGGGAAAGGCTTCCTGCACCTGAGTTTGTTGATTTGGTGGTGAGGCCTTGGGTTGTTTTTCTCTGCTGCCTTTATTTTCTCTTTGAATTAGAAAGTGAAGGCATTTACTGGAAAGAAGAAAAGAGAAAGGGGAGTCAAATTTAAACAGAATAGAAAATGTTTGAATTGTCGTATGGGAAAGTAAATTAGAGGAAAACACCTTCTGGGAAATGTTGAGGGCCCAGTTAAAACTGGTGGTGTAGCCGGGTTCGGTGGCTCAGCCTGTTATCCCGCGCCTTGGGAGGCTGAGGTGAGTGGATTGCCTGAACCCGTGGGTTCAAGACCAGCCTGGGCAACTTGGTGAGACCTCATCTCTACAATAAATCAAAAAATTAGCCAGGTGTGGTTGTGCACGCCTGTAGTTCCAGCTACTTGGAAGGCTGAGGTGGAAGGATCACCAGAGCACAGCAGGTTGAGGCTGTGGTGGCCGAGAGCAGCACTGCACTCCAGTCTGGGCAACAGAGTGAGACTCCAAAAAAAACCCCAAAAAACAACAAAAAAAAACCAGGTGGTGTGAATTTAGAGTGGTACCGAGTTATGATTTTATGTGTTTATTTTTCTTCAGCTGCTAAAGGTAGTAGGTGTGCATGACTCAAAAGAGGCAATTTGGGTTCTTCTAAGAGTAGGATTTTGCCTGGTAAGTGAAAGAAAGGACACAGGGACAAGGTAGCTTGAAATATTGGTAAGGCAGTGATTGAAAGATGGGCCAGAAGGGGAGGCACCCCTCCTCAACAAGGGCACCTGCACAGTGAAGGTTTGTATGCCTAGCCCTTAACTGTGCCCCACCATGTTAAAATAAAAAAAAAAAAAAAAAAAAAAAATATATATATATATATATATAAAATAAAAATCAAAAGATGGGCCATGGAATCTAAACCTGGAATACAAGGGAAGGAAGAAAACTTAGGAGGGGCTGATATGGAAAAAGCAGAATCAGTGGACGAGAGTTCCTGGGAAGGTTGAGTAATGGGCATCCCAGGAGCAGATGAACAAGGAACCAAGCAGGCTGGAAGTGAGGTGTTGGTCTTCTGGCAGCGGATGACTTGAGTGTCTCAGAAGAAGGGCACTTTCAGTTGTGGACATGGTCTGCGGTGTGACTGAGTGGAGAGTAGCAGAAATGGAGCGAAGGGGTCATTGGAGTCAAGAAACTCAAGAACATGAGAGGTCCAAGTGCAGCTGGACATTGATGTCACCTCCAGTGGTAGAGTAGGTGGAGAGAACTACTTAACTAGGTGCCGATGTCTTCACTGAACCGTGAAGTCTAGTAGATTACAAGTAAGGTCTGTTATAGCAGCTGACAGTAGGAAGGTGACTATCCTGGACATTTTCTAGATAGGTGCATGCTGCTGCCACTTCTGTTATTTAAGCACATTGCTACCTCACTCTCCTTTCTCTGGCAGGCTGCTAGATTGTTGACACAAACCAGAGACTGTAAATACAAGGAAAAATGGAGGCTGGAAAAATTCTCATCTGCTTTTTCTCCTTTCTTCTTCAGCATAAACTTCTCTAGAATAAAAATGGGAAGAAATCCAACAGAAGCTATAAGGGACAGGACATTTTTGTGGGTTACTTTTTAAAAAGCATTCTGTGTAACTAAGTTTTATGAGTGATATGATTACCTTTATCTGGAGAAAAATATGACCTGTAAAATACATGTAGTATCCTGAGAGTGGAAAGAATAGAAGCTATGTCTAAGTGTCTCACAGCTTAGAACCGGTTTGTTTGTTTGTTTGTTTGTTTGTTTAGGCTGTTGGAGAGAAAGAAGTGAGAGACGTATTTCCAGAAGCAATTATCATAAAGCCATCAGACATCTTTGGAAGAGAGGATAGAATTCTCAATCATTTTGCAAGTATGTATTCTTTCTTAATAGAAGAAGAAAGGGATACTAATTAACCAAGTTGAAATTGATCATGAGCTGTGTTCTCTGATTGACAGACTAAGGTTGTATTTTTTTCATAGTTAATGTCCTCGTTGTTACTCAGCATCAAAAGAAGCAACTTAGATTAATGGAGAGAGCATGGACTTGGGAGGCAGAGAGTTCAGTTTAACCCTGGCCTGACTAGCTTTGTGGCCTTGGCAAGATACTAAAATATCAGACAGAATAGTTCTACTGCCCTAAGCCCCCTCCCACCCCTCCAATTCTCCCTATTTTTCCTATCGCCCTGCTCCTACTCTCAACCCCTGGCAAACACTCATCTTTCTACTGTCGCTATAGTCTTGTCTTTTCCGGGATGTCATACAGTGGGAATAATACAGTATATATTTTTTTCACTTGGCCATATACGTTTTTTCACTTGGCCGTATACATTATAGGTTCCTTCATGTCTTGATGTGACCTGATGACTCATTTCTTTGTTAGCTGAATAGTTTTCCACCAAATGCGTCCTCTTGTGTAGGTTGTTTCTTTATCCAATTATGTTACTACCATGTGTTTTCCCCCTCTAGCCTGTGTCCACTTTCATTCTGTAATTCTACTTTTAAAAATATTGTAGTAAAATAACAAAAAATTGGCCATCAGCTATGGACTGAATTGTGTCCCCCCAAAATTCACATTAAAGCCTTAACCCCCAATGTGACTTTATTTGGAGATAGGGCTTTGAGAAGTAATTATGGCTAAATGAGGTCATGAAGTTGGGGTCCTAATTCAGTAGGATTGTTGGCCTATAAGAAGAGGAAGAGAGAGAGCTCTTTCTCTGTGTGTGTGCATATGTTAAGGAAAGGTCATGTGAGGACACAGCAAGAAGTTGGCTGCCCACAAGCCGGAAGAAGGCCTCACCAGGGACCAAGTTGCCTGCCACATGGATCTTGGGCTTTCTTGCCGCTAGAGCTCTGAGAAATCAAATTTCTGATGTTGGAGCCACCAGTCTATGGCATTTTGTTA